CAGCATCAAATTCCATCTTCCCATCGGTTACTCGCTGCTCTACGGTTTCTCACGCTTCAGTCTTCTTTCATCGGAGGTCTGATTCTACTGGTCTTGTCCCACTGCCGTATATACCATCAGTTGTGAGTATTCTTCTCTTTTTCTTCTCTTCTGACCTCCTTCCCTCAAGGAACGCTCCTGCCATAACTGCGTCTTCAGCAGAACACATCAGCTAACTAGGTATCGCTACCCCTTGCAGATATACCGATCTTCTCCTATTCCCACCACCCCATCGAATTCTTCTCTCTACCACGACGACTACAGTCAACTCGCCTCATAATGGCCTCTACCGATTCCACTGTTGCCAACGGCGCTGAGACTTCAGCTGCCCAGCGCCTCCTCCAAACCCATGCCGACCTGCACCCCACTGTCGAGGACGTCCCCGATGAGGATCTCCCCGTGAAGTCCGGCGACGCTCCTTCCTGGGCCGAGCCCAGCTCGAGCAGAGCTGCTAATAAGCAGAAGGAAGCCTCGGCCTCTGGAAAGAAGATCGACACCCACTCCCATGAGCTTTTCCCCGAGCTCGGAACCTCCAAGGGCAAGAGCGCTGGCCCCAACGTCACCCCCATCTGGGGAGCCAAGAGCAACGCCTCTACCCCCGCCAACGGTGTTTCCCGCTCCTCGACTCCCGCCTCGGGAGCTGCCACCCCCAAGATGTCGATTCCTGGCCGTAACGTTGAGACGGTTGTCCTGGATCCCCAGTTCATCCTCCCGCGCAACCAGCTTAAGCGCCCCATCCCTGATATCATGAAGGACATCAACCGCAAGTCGCGCGCCAACATCACTCTGTCAAACGGACCCAACGGAAAACTCAAGTTCGATGCCACGGGCCCCCAGGACGTTGCTCAGCAGGCCCTCAAGGACCTCGTCCAGCAAATTGGTACCAAGGTAGGTGGCCAATCCTTTCTCCTCCACGCGCCCAGGCTGACGTCCCATTTGAAGACTACCATCAAGGTTCCGATCCCCCAATCTGCCCGTGCTCACATCATTGGAAAGGGTGGCTCTGTCATCAAGTCCATTCAGGAGAAGTCTGGCGCCCGTGTTCAACTCCCTAAGGCGGAGGAGGGCAGCGGTCCCATCGACGAGGATGATGACTCCACCATCGATGTTCTCGTCGAGGGCAACGCTTTGTCCGCCGCTTCTGCTCGTAACGAGATCTTGAAGATTGCCGGAGATCGTACTGCCAACCTGAACAGCAAGCTTCGCGGCATCCCGGCTGAGTTCTACCCCTTCATTGCGGGCCCCGGAAACAGCCACATCGGCCGCTACGAGAACAACGGTGTCACAGTCCGCGTTCCTGCACACCAGATCTGGGCTCCTCGTGGCCGCAGCCTTGTCGCGAACGAGGGTGAGCGCCCCGTCTTCGTCCCTGCCGCCGACAACCACATTCAGCTTCAGGGTGACCGCGCTGCTGTCCAGGCTGCGCGCGCCGAGATCGAGCGCCGTGTTCAGGAGCTCCAGAACCAGCTTGCCATCGACCAGTTCAGTCTGCAGAAAGGTCGTCATCAGTTCATCGCCGGCCGCCGCGGCGAGACTCTCGACGATTTCTTCAACCAGACTGGTTGCACCATTCTCTTGCCGACTGACGAGGATGACGACTCTGTCACTGTTATTGGTCCCGCAGCTCAGCTCACCAAGGGTGTCGAGACTGCTATGGACAGAGCCATGAACATGCAGTTCTCCACTTTCGACATTGGCAGATTCCACAAGAACGCTCCTGGAGGTGTCAACACCCACGCTCGCAACGTCACCCGTTACCTGCGTCACCGCGATCTGTTCGACGACATTGAGAGTGCTCACAACACTCACATCAACACTCCGTTCACCTCTGCTGGCGCCTCGCCTTATGAGCTGTACGCTCGTGACGGCAAGAGCGTTCTCCAGGCTCAGTCGGCCATTGAGAAGCTTGTGCATGCCATTCCTCCTGCCAGAATTGCCCCGATTCCTGTTGACCCCTTCTACCACAACTACCTGGTGAAGGACGTCAGCCCTCGTATGAGAAACAGCCACGGCGTTCACGTCATCCTTCCTGAGTCTGGCGAGCCCGAGGCTCCTGTTCTTCTTGTCTTCGAGGGACCCTCTGCCTCCGAGCCCAAGCCTGAGATCAAGACCGGTCGTCCCTCTCAGGATGAGATCCAGGCCTTCCAGAAGGGCCTGGAGGAGGCTCGCAAGCAGATTTTGGATATCATCAACAAGCAGGAGCAGATCGCCTCTGCCTCAGTTGATGTGCCCCAGAAGTGAGTGTGTCGGACCCATTCGCACGAGCGTCCTAGCTAATTTCATTTCACAGGTTCCACGAGCGCCTCCGCCGCTTCATCAAGAAGGAGCAGGCCAACCGCGCCGACGACCAGATTCCCATCCGCGTTTCCTCGGTCGGCACCGTTGTCAACCTGCGTGGTCCCGCTTCTGCTGTCAAGAACCTCGAGGCCAAGGTCGTCGCCTTTGTCGAGCAAGAGAAGGAGGACGAGAAGGAACGTGGTTTCACCATGTCCTTCGACTTCCCCCAGAAGTACGCTAACCACCTTATCGGTAAGGGCGGCTCCAACATCAAGGAGCTCCGTGATCGTTTCGACGTCGAGATCCAGGTTCAAGATGGCCAGGTCGAGCTGAAGGGCCCCAAGGCCAAGGCTGAGGCCGCCAAGGCCCACATCAGCTCGCTGGGCCGCACTCTGGCCGACGAGGTCACCCACATCCTCAAGGTCGACCCCAAGTTCCACCGCGAGCTTATTGGTGCGGGTGGCAGCGTCACGAACCGCCTGCAAAGCAAGTACAAGGTCTTGATCTTCTTCCCCCGGTCCGGCAAGAACGCGAAGGACGAGGAGAATGCCGATGCAAGCAGCGATGGTGGCAAGCCTAAGCGTCAGCAGGAGCCCGACGAGGTCATTGTTCGTGGTCCCAAGAAGGGAGCCGATGAGGCCCGCGACGAGATCCTGTCTCTCCTCCAGTACCTCAAGGACACTTCCTTCACAGCGACTGTGTCTGTCCAGCAGAAGCAAGTTCCGTCCATTATCGGACAGGGTGGTGCTGCACTGGAGGAGCTCCGCGTGGCAACTGGTGCCAAGATTGATATCCCCAGTGCTCGCGATGCCGAGACTGTTGAGATTCTGATCAAGGGTACCAAGCCTCAGGTTGCTGCTGCTAAGAAGGCTCTCGAAGAGAAGCGAGATGTCTTTAACGACACCGTTGTGCAGACTATTGAGGTGGATAAGAAGCACCACAAGTCTCTCATCGGTTCTGGGGGTAAGATCACTTGAACCAACCGAATTTTGTAGCTTTAACTAACACTACCCAGGCGCCAACCTCCGCGACCTCGTTGTCAAGGCCGGTGGATCTGATGACCGCCGCGAGCTTGCACGCACCATCCAGTTCCCCAAGCAGGAGGCTGATGGCAACACTATCAAGGTTGAGGGCCGTTCCGACATTGTCAACAAAATCGTTTCACGTATCCAGGAGATTGTCGCAGAGAAGGAGAACCAGGTCACTGAGATCCTTGAGGTTCCCATCGAGAAGCACAGAACCCTGATCGGCCGTGGCGGAGACGCTAAGCGTCAGCTCGAGTCCCAGTTTACCGTTTCCATTGACATTCCCCGTCAGGGTGATGGCAAGACTGGTGTCAAGATCACTGGTCGTCCCGAGAATGTTGAGAAGGCCAAGGAGCACATCGCCTCGCTCGTCAAGGAGCAGGAGGGAGAGACCCTCCAGGTGCCGCGCAGCCTTCACCACTCCATCTCCAACAACGGCCAATTTTTCCGCCAGCTCCGCAACAACCACCAGGTTTCGGTCGACCACGCTGGACAGGCCCTTCCTCCTAAGCCCAGCGCCGCCGCCAGCCGCAGCAACGGTGGTGCTTTGCCCTTGATCACCGATGACGAGGATGCCACCGCTGACGCCCACTCCTGGAAGGTTGTGGACAGCGCTGCTGGCGAGGATGGCGAGATTGCCTGGGTGCTTCGTGGCTCCCCTGAGAACCTCGAGAAGGCCAAGGCTGCGATCGCCTCCGCCATCGAGCAGGCAAAGAAGAACACCCACACCGGTTACCTCGTCCTGCCCGACCCCAAGACCTACCGCTATGTCATCGGCCAGGGTGGCAGCAAGGTCAACTCTATCCGCAAGCAGAGCGGTTGCAAGATCAACGTCCCCCGTAACGATGCTAAGGAGGATGCGATTGAGGTTATCGGTAGCGCCGATGGCGTTGAGAAGGCCAAGGACTTGATCCTCGAGGCTGTGAGAGAGGGACTCAGCTCCCGTGCGCCCCGAGACTAGAAGTCTGGACGTGAATCTCCGGCGATTGCAACAGAGGAGGGGTCTTACCAACACTTCAGGGACCAACTAAGCGCCCTTACTACGGAGTGGTTTGGCGATTCTCCGGAAGCAGAGCCACTTGAGTGGTAGAAAAGAACGAAAAAGGAAGCAAGGCGGCAGTAGTATCATGAGATGTATGTCGCCTGTCTTCCATGTGTATGGGCTTAAAGGGAGATGTAGTTATGCGTGAACAAAGTGATATATACACAACCATCAACAGAATAAAAATCTGGATCAAAGTTATCTGCTGTTCCTCAAAATGCTGCGAAAAGAATCTGTGAATGAATGTAAGGAAATGCTCTCTTGGCTTCTTGTGCAAGGGGGAAAGAAGGCCCAAGAAAAGGATCTTCGTCCGCTCACCGTCCTGAACCATGCTTCCCACTGCGTGGATTAACCTACTAATCAGCTTGAGGAGAACAAGGCAGGAATTTTGCAATAGTAATTGGGTAATAGTGTACAGACATATCCAGATAGAATTATTTGGTACGTTGATAGGACAATGACCAATTCATGCCTTTCCTTTCCATCTCTTTCCGGTTTCCTCCCTCTCCTTTCCCCGCGACTCCGCTTCGCTTCGCTTACTTTCCATTACTACTCCATTTCCAAGCAGTATATGCCAACAAAGAGTTTGCTACCAGTACTTCCAAACAATGACCAGTTTAGTTGCCAAAAGCCTTATCCATCTGCTTCTTGTACTTATCCTTGATCGCTCTTCTGTTCACCTTTTGTGTCGCAGTGACGAGACCCTAAGAAACCAACTTATTAGATGCTGATGAATGGAGCGAGGGGGGATCTTTGGGGGGAAGGGGGGAGACTTACGCTATCGGGTGTCCACTCCTCCTCGCAGAGGACGACGCCGCCGACAATCTCAAGACCAGAGAGTCCAGCCTTCTTTCCGTTGGAGATGAGATCCTTGAGAACGGCGTCGACGACTTTGCTGTCAGTGTGCATGCTGTGCTCATCAACACCAAGCTTCTTCGCCTCCTCGGCGAGGACCTTTTCATTGGGAGCCACGACGGCGATGGCGCGGGAGTGCTCGCCGTCGCCGTAGACCATGATGTTGGCGACAAAGGGGCTGCCGCGGTAGACGGATTCCATCTTCTCGAGGGCAATGTACTCTCCACCCTGCATCTTGACGAGGTTCTTGACGCGATCAATGACCTTGACGTGGCCGACCTTGTCGAACTCGCCAATGTCACCCGTCTTGAACCAGCCGTCCTCGGTAATGGCCTTGGCCGTCTCTTCGGGGTTCTTGTAATACTCCTTCAGCACGGCGGGTCCCTTGACCCAGATTTCACCCTGGGGAGGGTTGGAGTCGGCGTAGTAGTTCAGATCGGGGATGGACACGAGCTTGAGGTCAACAGCAGCGGGAATAGAACCAATAGCATCGGAAGTGTACTCCAGGGGGTCACCGAGGGCACCGTTGGCGGCTGTCTCGGTCAGTCCGTAACCTGTCAACATAGGCGCCAGAGTCATGGACAGGAAGTGCTTCGTCCCATCCGAGATACCGCTCGCGCCATTCATAATGAAGCGGAGACGACCACCCGTCAACTCGCGAACCTTCTTGAAGACGACATTGTCAAAGATGGTAGCGCCGGGAAGGCCGTGCTTGACCATGAAGGTCTTATAGTTGAAGGCTCCCCAGAAGAGGGCCTTGATGAGAGGGCCAGAGCTGTTGACCTTGGCAATGACACCCTTCTTTACCGTCTCCCAAATTTGAGGCACACCAACCAAGGCCGTCGGCCGGAACTCGCGCATGTCACCAGCGCAGTTCTTGACCGACGTATCCGAAAGGGTTCTCGGGTTACCATAACCAAGGGTGCCACCCACGAACAAGACGAGGTTTTCCAGTACGAGTTCAAAGATGTGGGCCAAGGGCAAGTATGCCAGAACATATTCCTTGTTGCTGACACACTCTTCGACGCAGGTCCAGAGACCAGTAACTGAGCGTAAAACTTAGCATCTGCAGTACATTGAACCTCAAGAAAGATGACTTACTCGCAGCCACAGTTCCAGCGTGAGTCATGGGCACACCTTTCGGCGGACCCGTGGAACCAGAAGTGTACATGATGCAGAACAAGTCCTCAGGCTTTGCCTCTACGGTCTCAACGGGGTTCTCCTCGCCTAATGCACGCACCTCCTCGATACTAACAAGTTTGATATCGGGGTTGGCCTTCTTGAAGGCGTCGACTTCAGTGCCATCGGAAAAGAGGGAGCTGTTGTTGTAGATGACAAATTTGACATTTTCGGCCTTCTTCAGAGCACCGCTTGCTGTCTTGAGGAGTTGAGGGTCGATGTACATAGCATCGGCATTGGACTGGAGCAGCGAATGCTCGACGCCGCTGGCGCCGAGGGTATCGTAAGCGGTGACAATAGAGATGGACTGGGAGCCGCAGGCGTGGGACATGGCCATCCAGTTTGCACTAGATTCCAGAAGGTCGGGTTAGCTTCTTCTCGGCAGGCCCAGACTGGGAGGGGTTCGAGTGCGGAGTGCTCGGGACCTTGGATCTGGGAGGATAGGTAGGACAAAGAGGGTTCTGCTCTCGGACGTACGTTGTGGTAGCGAATAGATGGACTCTGCTTCCTTTGCTCAGACCCAGCTTCCGCAGGCCTGAGCCAATCTGGTTGATATAGGTGAGGAGGTCGGCATAGGTCAGGTAAGAGTAACGGGACAGCTCGAAATACTGCCACTCTTTTTCAACCTCTATGACCTCTCCATCGACATTCTTGGGGACCTTCTTCTTCTCCTTGTGAAGGTGCACGAGCTTCCTGGTGCCAACGGCAGGCTCGTTAGGGTAGACCTGGGCACTTCGCTTGACAATGTCGTAGACGGTGTGAACGTCGGGATGGGGTTGGGTTCGGAGACCATTCTTGGCTTTCCAATGGCGACGGGGAAGAGTCTCGCCCTCAACGCGCTCGTACCCAGGCGACTCGACAGAGAAGGGAGGTTTGTGCACCTGGTACAAGGGCATCACGCCCGTCGTGTAGTCTGGCATATCGGCGGCGGTGGGGTTCGTAGGGAGTCTGGCGTAGAATAGAGCGGTGAGGATGGCGACGAGGAGGACGAGGACGGCGGTGATGTTGGACGGAATGATGGCAGAGTTCACGGAAGCAAGCCTAGGGACGATGATGATGAACGGACACGGAATTGACGGATGGGCCGAGGCGGGGGAGGGAGCTCTGAGGTAAAGCTAGGGGTTTCGAGGTGAGCTAGGTGAATGACGGCAGTAAGTTTGCAATTTTGAGGTGGTCGAAGAGGTTGGCCGGAAGGGTTGTATGGTCGGAGCTTTTTTTCTCGCAAAGATTTGGCAAAGATGAGGGGGAACGTGAGACTTTGACAGAGCCGATGAGGAGGAGCTTCTTGGAAATGCTGGCTGTCGGCTGGGTTACGTAGCTGTATCCGTAGCTGTAGCTGCTGGCACACGAGACTCGAGAGCAGTGCGTCGAGTGAGTACGTGCGTGTGTGCGGGCAGGAGGCGCAAAAGTTAGGTGCGCAGCAAAAGATGGGCAACGGGACTTTAATTGCGTCACGGTTGAGAGCTGGGGAGCATGGGGCATCCAATGGAATGGGGTCTGGAGCTGATAGACAGGCAAACAGCACTGCAGCAGTGCAGCAGCAGCAGCTGGCAGGGACTGCACTACAGGGTACTGAGGGTAGGGATGTCGCAGGTAGGTAGATCCGCCACCGGCCGATGCTTGGGTGGGTCTCCCGCGCATCAGGCAAGGTACGTATCTTTCATGTTGTCCCCCATTCCGAATTTCTGAGGTAATTCCCCTTCTCCCATTGCATATTGTCTGGGCACATCTCAAGCACACCTGCCCCTGGGGTGGGAATGCTGAGCCACTAGTCAAGCTCCCTGCCAGGCCGGGGCTGCATTTGTCTTGGTGGCCGCAGACATGAGAGCTAATTAGAGCTACCTCTGTCGATTATTATCAGCCTCTACGTTACCTTGCTTGCAACGTACGACTACAACGAGAATTTGGATCGTGGACAGCCACGACGGCTTGGCTGCTTGGCTGCAGCTATGTACTGCAGAATCTGGTAATCAGATCTTGTTCCGGCGATTCCAGAGAGTCTCAGCATAGGGGCATATGACCTTTTTCTGGTCAGCCTTGGGCAATGTGGCAAGCTCTGGAAGCTGGAAGAGCCGGAGTGGCATACGTACACCCGTGGCACAGCACTACGGAGTAGACAGCTCTTCTTCTTCCTCCTCCTCAACCACCACACTTTACATCTGCAACGTTAGGTGCTCACCTGGAGAAGAATCTTACCTGCCTCGGCCTCACGAGTTTCAACAGCAGCGAAGACCGAGTGAAATGGCAGCTTCTTGTGGGCCAAATGCAACCCGCCGGTCGCTGCTCAGTCAGGACCATTAACCAGCACCAGGGCCGTTGCTAGCGTGCGGATAAAAAAGAGGGGAGGAAACTGGGCTGCTCCTCCTCGGCTTGGCACGTTCCTTGGATAAGATGCAAGATGCGAGATCGCTCTTGCCTGTCCTTTACCTTCCTCATTACCTTGTTTCGTGCTTTCCTATTGAGAATATGATAGGACCAATTGCTATTATGACAACTCTTTCCTGCCTATTTCATATGTACTTAGGTATCTATCTACTCTGAGTCTGAGCAATAAATCTTACTCGTTCTCAACATTTCATCACTTGGTCTTGGGCACACTCCAGATGACCTTCATTCCCCGCCTATGCTGACAACTTGGCAACTTGTTCTCTCCAACAATTATCCCCAACGCTCAACAATGCTACACTCCATCAATGATCACGCACAAATACTAGACAATGAACAAGCACATGACAGAAGGCTTCGGTGTCGGTGGCAGCCCACGCTCGAGTCCGAGCAGGGAAGGTCGGAAAATGTCCAAGATCAAAGGCTGCAGTCTGCAACCTGCAATCTGCAGAGAACTTCCGATGAAGACGGCGTACCCGTACCGCCCAAGGAAAGGTTTTGGTCCACATCTCGATATCGAAATGGGCTTTTGTTAAATTATCTTCTGCAGGCCTTTTGACTCGAAAAAAACCGGGACCGAACCACTCGCGCCGCGACGCCTGTTCAGAGTACAAACGAATACTCCGTAGGTAACCCCGACCGCCACGGAAACACGGCTTCTTTGGTCTCGGAGCTCCTCTTGTCAAACCTCGCCTATCTACGCGACTCTGCTGACAACTGACAATGGCTGGGTTCTTCATCCGCTCACGTGCAAATTCCAGCCTCAATTGCTGACACATGCGGCGGACATGCACCGACAGCCGAGGCCACAGCAAAGAAAAAGAGGCTCCCTCCAGTGGGCTCCCTGGCATCTGAGTGCCACTGTGCCACTGTCTCTATCCACCTGCAGACAAACCCTGCTTTGCTCCAACGATCCTGCTTTATGCGGACGGGCAGCATCTTGGGCATATCCCCAAACGACAACCCGTTCGTTATCCGAATTCCGTCCAAGACAGAGTTCGGTTCATCGCACAATTTCAACCAACCATCCGAGCTTCCTGTCTGCGATCCTTTTGCCTCTGACTTGCTACTCGCATCTCACCACTTTTGAGGCTATCCCCACGTTGCGAAACTGCCGACATATGTCGTGCTGACGCTCTGCCCAATCCTGCCGAATCGTGCGCCCGAGTCAGACTTGGTCCTCGTCATGAAGAAAAGTCCACGGCCAGCCCGCATGAATGTCGCTTGAACGTTGGGGAAGCTATGGCCACAGTGAGCCACCAGTAGCTGAAGCCCGGCCCAGGAGTTTGCAACGTCTTCAGCTTGTTGTTCCAGCTTGATACTGGGAGCAGACCAGAAAACATCAAACCCCTCATATACACCATGGCGACGGCGTGCTTTGCGGTGGCCAAGGGGACTGTCATGGAAACCACAAAAACCAAACAAAGTGGTCGAACACGGCTCAGGTCAAGATCCGGACCGCACGCGGTGAGAGTTCATCGTGTGGCCGCCGGTCAAAGAGCAATTAATAGCAGCACTCCGTCCATCTCAATCTTACACACACACTTTATCTCTCCTCTCGATGCGGGCCGAGCGTTCAGACGGACCCGATCAAGAATCCGGTCCTCAAGGGAACTTGTCCCCTAGTCGGAGATCCATTCGGGCCCCTCATCCCGGTACAGCAAGCAGCCAGCTTTGCCAACCTCGAAATAAGTGTGAGTTGGGTAGGGCGTCGGACAAAAACAATCACACAGCCAGAGACATCCAGACACCATAATGCCTCCCAATATGCCAGCCCTGTGCCTCATTCACGCACGTATGCTGCATCGTCAGCTTTGATAAACATGCCTCCCCAGCGTCGAGCCCGTCGTTGTGCTAGCGGGATCTACGCTGGTCTAACGGCTTACACTTTGGAACTAAAACAGCACCGCTCGGCACTCCCTCGTACCACAGGGCCGTGTGTTTAGCCTCATCCTCTACAGACAGGAACGCTGCACTCACGTAAACATGCAGCAATCTAGTGGCCCTGCCGTGTTGTAGGCAAGCCAGATGGTGTCCTCTGCTGCAACTAACGGCCATCGTAGTTCTAGAATGGACTTCCCCCATCGGACTATTACCTCCACCATCGTGTCTCTCCCGTCCCTCGCGCGACCAATCAGCTAACACCAGCGGCAGGACCGCTCGACCTCCGACCTCCGACCTTGCTGCACAGTTCTCGAAATATACTCATCGTCACCAGTGTCACAACAATGAAACGCCCCTTTTGCAAGCCCCGAGCGTGCACCTACACAACGTGCCCCAAGAGCCACAAGCACAGAGACGCCCAAGGGAGGCCTGGGTCCTGTCGCCTGGCGGAGACTCTGAAAGGAGGCGGCGGGGAGGCGCACCTCCGAGACGTGTTGTCGGCACGGCATTGATGATATTAAGATAGAGTTATGTCGCAGCTGTTTCCCTCTCTCTTTCGAGATGAACTCCTGTCCTGTTTTCCGCCGATCTAGAGCTGCTGACTGGCTTCGAACACAGCCCCCCTGCTTCCTTTCTCGCGGTAGCCAGCCACCATGTCGCGATTGTGTGGTATGCGCCCTGAAGGGCTGGTGAGTTGCTTCCATTTCCATGGTCCTTGGCCAGCGTCCTGTAATATTGTAGCTAATGCTCGGCCCAGACGGTAGACTCGAGGTTCAGTCCTCTTCCGTCGATGTGTTTCTTCGATACCATCATCATCCCTTTACCGGCGTGGATTCGCCTGACAGTCACTTTCGCCCTTTTCCACTTCATTGTGCCGGTTCTCATCGTCGACAAGATTAAGCGATATACCGTGAAGAAAGAATGGCAGAGGCATGCTCAACTGTCCGTCTATTTTTTTTCTATACTCGTTGTGTTCCTCATGGAGATTATGGAAATCGCCAGACTCGCAGAGATTCGCTATGCCATTGGCCTTCTTCCTTTCGTCTTCGCTGGCTGCGGCGTATGTGCAGTCATGCAGGCCACCCGCGGCATCAAGGGCAAGATTCGCAACTGGCAGGTGGCTAACATCATTTTCTGGATCATGAGCGTCGCTGTCACCATTATCAAGATCCTCACGATTCAGCGCTCAAGCATGCGATTCCCCGAGTTCCGGCGAATGGGAACCGACTATCCGACGACGCATCAGGTGCAGGACTTGGCCGTCATTGCCGGATTCTACGTCCTTCTCTTGATCAACGAGATTGCGCTCTTCTTCCAGAAGACTTGGGAAGAGACTGTCGACGCTGAGAACATCAAAAAGCTCCGCCTCACCAGGTCGATCAGCGACCAAGCCCGCTACGATCTCACCCGGGCTATTGAGGAGGGCTACTACCCCTCGGGCGTCACGTATCTGACCCTGAGACTCGAGGGCGAATCTCAGAGCGAGAAGGCCGTCAGCAAGGACGACATTCTCAAGAAGACGGCCAGCATGGACGCTTCTATCGCAGGGTCGTCTTCCAGCGAGAAAACGGCTGGCAAGAGGCTCATGGATGAGGATTCCATCGAACCAGTACCCATGATACCCCCTAGCTTCAGACGCAACAGCGAGCGGTGGTCGTCGGCCATGACGCTCAAGGATGCTGCCGGGGATGACATGAACGAGAAGGTCGGCGGCAAGGACAACAACAAGAAGCGCGGCAGCGAGAGGTGGTCGAATGCCATGACAATCAAGGAGCCCACAGCTCTCCGTGACGGTCATGACAAGCGTGTGTCAAGCTTCGCCTCCCCGATGGTTGCCGACATCGACGAGATCACACCCCTGGACCCCCCTTCCACCTCATCATCCAGATATGAAGACGAGCATGCCGCGCAGAAAGCCATGCTTCTCGACAGCCCCTTCCCCATGAAAGAACTTCCCGACAGGCGCTCCTTCATGCTCAAGCCTTCGCGCCCCAACACAGAGAGATGGTCCAACGCCATGACTCTGCGCGGCGAGCCGTCATCCGGCAGCGGCAGCCAGGAGCCTTCGCCCAAGGAGCATAAGGAGTATATGCCCTCGGCACCCCCGGCCGCGGCGACGGCTCCGACCACGCCGGAGCGCAGGGCTTCGGCTAGCGAGCGGAACATAATGAGGAGATACTCTGACGCCTCCACGCGGTCTATCAGGAGGTTTTCTGCACGCAGTGACCTCCGCGAGGCGGCGGCCACAGCGGCGGCGTTTGTGGATGGTGATGAGCCGCTCACTTCGCCAACGGAAGCGCATCCTTTGCAGCCGAATCACCACACGCCATAAATGAGCACAGCGATGACACCGCTACGAATTCTCTCACCACCTTGACGCAGATTGTTATCCATCATTCTCGAATGTTCGAGATGAGGGAGGCTAGTGTATAATGAAAAAATATGTAAATCCAACCACCAGATAGGTACCCGGGTAAAGGCGTCAATCGACTGGGCTTTAGGGCGCCGCCGGGCGAGGAGGCGTTTGGATCGGGTTCCCGTTTCTCCCTTTGTAGGTATCCTCCCCCATTTCACCAAACTTTCCTTTTTTCGAATGTAAAATCACACACTATTTAATGAGGCTATGGATCAAAGTCTCACAAGATCTTTCTTTCTTCTTTTTTGCAATATAGATCGACCAAGAGGGATATAGGAGAATTATTGGATGATGAGTGGCTTGTTTCCCAAAAATTGTGATGT